AATGTGACGTTATTCCGCAGAGTTCGGTAACCCTGAGAGATGATTTCTTGGAGCTACATCCTAAATGAGTTGCGTTACGCATTGTAGCGTATTCCGTGGCACAGAGTACCAAAGATGCGTACAGTGTAGCAGAGTTCTCTTTTCTTCACAGTTTCGGGGAAGCCACAACTTTCATGCGCTTTTTAAGGCTGTTCAAAAAAACGTTCTCGCGTGCTGGTAATCTGTTACTCCAAATCATAAAGCTGTACTCTACCCTTTCGGAAATATGCTCGTTTGTCGTTATTCTATGCAGCTAAGCAAACAGCAAGACCATCTTTTTGAGATATTCTGTTTTAGGAGCTTTCTCCTTACGCTGTGGGGGTGTCTCTCGCCTTTGCACCGTGCACGCTAGTTCTCATTGCTCTCGATGTAGGCGCAGCTGTGCTCTCTGTTGAAATAAAGAGCGCTCACTAGATGGCACGCCACCGCTAAGGCACTCATGACGCGTGCTCTAGTTTGACAGAAAACCGCTAGAGGGCCGCACCTATATATAGCGCTCATACTTGGAGCGCTTGCTTTCTCTTTCGCTGCACGTCACTCCACGCGCGTAGATAAAGAAGACGAGGCGTTCTTCCCAAAACGGCTCAGATGAATAATTATTCACATGACTGACCAATCAGTTCTTCGTCGAAATTTAGCATGCTTCAGACGGGAACTTACCCTATAGCCTCTTGACCTGACATTTCAGAACTTTGTCTGGACTGTCAAAATCGCAGTGTTTTTAACCACATGCTCTGGAGGTGCCCCTCTTTACAAAGAAAAAAATGAAGAATTTTCTGAGAACTCCTTTCATTTAATGCTCACGAGTCCGGTTCTCATACAACAACTCAAGGCTGTCCAGAAGGCCCACGATGCGGTGGTGAGGCTAGGCCTCCCCGTCCCTACGTGGGAGCGTCCCACGATACCACCCCTATAAAACGGGAGTGGAATCCTTCAGGACCCCAAAAAAGTTTCAAAGTTTCAGGACCCCAATACTTTATTCATCATCAAAATTTAAAATTCCTTTTTCCCCATTACAATAACCGCCGGTTTAATGGCCAATCCTCCGTATAGTGGGTACGAGACATAGGAACAAGCAAGCAAGCTTACAAGGCTGTTTCTGTATCACGTCTTTATGTGATGATCGAGCGGATGTACGAAGAATGCACGGTTTATCGGATTTAACCTCCGGAGCAAGCTCGTTCATCGTCATTCACTTCGTGGATATGGTGCAATTTTTTTTTCGACAGCACACGCATAACTATACGTCACGTCGGCACAAGCTAAAAACATATGTATTATTCTGATGTGAATTCCGCTGGCCGTACCATGAATCAACTACAGTGATGAATGATAAAAAACAAATAGTGACACCTCCGTTCTACTGCGCTGTAGTAAGGAAAAAAAAAAGACACCGACTTGCATGCAGAGGAAAAAAACACAGGTGCCTTGGCTAACCAATTTTCGCGGCCCCTTTTTTTTACGCCGTAAGATTGTATTGGGCAAAAGAGGGTTTGGCCTCGAGATTCACCAAGCAACTAATTGTACATGCAGATGCTTATGTCGGGCAACAGATACGTCTCTATTGTGAGACGTCCAAACGGTATACTGACGATGTGAGTCAGTTTTTTTTTCTATTTTTGGTGGGAGATCTATCGTTCAAAAAATTATAATGAACTGTGATGTAGACATCAACATGTAACGTCGAATCTACACAACACGGATACTCGCGACGTGCTTGCACGTGTTTTTATCTGTCTGAAAAACTGATTGATTGATTGATTGATTTGTGGGGTTTAACGTCCCAAAACCACCAAATGATTATGAGAGACGCCGTGGTGGAGGGCTCCGGAAATTTAGACCAACTGGGGTTCTTTAACGTGCACCCAAATCTGAGCACACAAGCCTACAACATTTCCGCCTCCATCGGAAATTGATTTGAACCCGCGACCTGCGGGTCAGCAGCCGAGTACCTTAGCCACTAGACCACCGCGGCGGGGCTCTGTCTGAGAAACTGCGAGATGATTTAGTGAAACAAATAAAAATATTTTTTTTTTCACAAAGATAGCGCACCTCGTTCAGCGAACAGGTTGGTAAACTGGCTTACTGAGGCAGCTAACGCCCGTGGTCTTTCAAATTTAAGTTCAAGCTGCGAACACTCACCAAATTTGTCCGTCAGGTAAAGCCAGCTTTAAAGGGGCACTACTCTAGACAGCAGCATCGCTAGTTGTGATGACTCAGCCAACGAAATTTCTAAAGTGGCCACTTGTGTGTCACCGTCGGGGCCACAAAGTGGAGCGGCCGCGGAAACGTGCCGATACCGTGTTGTGACGTCACCGCACAGTACGCACCGAAACTAACCTTTAAGACTATTCTGTCGTTACCTTTTATGGGGTGCGCTCACGCTTAGCCGTACATTTTGTAGTCTTTTGAGGGTTTGTACTTTGATTTGACGAAAGAAAATTACAACTAGAAATCTCGGGGTCAATACCCCTTAAGTGTACAACAATGCTTTCATCTACCAAGAGTGACCCGCTATATGGGCTATATAGCTCACGCCCCGACGAACCTAAATAAAGTTGTTTTTTTTTTTTCATCTCGAAGAGTGCCGGCTGCATAACTGAAATAAATAATCATTCTACTTTGATGAAATGTTCTGTTGTATTATTTTTATTAGAAGCACTTCAACAAAGCTGTTATGTGCACTGAATCTAGGACCCTGATACATGAAATAGAATCAGAGAGTTTGAACTCGGCATGTGTAGGTGAGTGCATGACTAATTGGTTTATATGTGGGGTTTAACGTCTCAAAAGCACCATATGATTATGAGAGGCGCCATTGTGAAGGGCTCTGGAACTTTCCACCACCTGGGATTCTTCGACGTGCACCCAAATCTGAACACACGGGCCAACAGAATTTTTCGCCTCCATCGGAAACGCAGCCGCCGCAGCCGGGATTTAATCCCGCGATCTGTGGGTCAGCAGCCGAGTACCTTAGCCACTAGACCACCACGGTGGGGCATGAGTACATGACCAACCATTCCACTATAGCGTCGGCCAAAACCCGAACCGCTAGCAAACCGATAAATCGACCAAAACTGCAGCAGTACATTGTCGAGGGGCTGGGTTCACGCTGTCCTTTCTCCTCGAATCGAAAAGAGCGAAATAGTTGAAGGGTACGGAATCACACCGCTCAAGGGCGCGGGACACGAATGATACGTTATCGTCAGATACATGCATGTGTGTGAAGCCAGAACGTCTTCGAGCCCGCCACGGCGGTGTTGCGGTGACGGTGCTCAGAGGCTGACCGTGAGGTCGCGGGTTTGATTCCGGCCGCGGCGGTCTCATTTTGGTGGAGGCAAAATGCCAGAGGCCCGCGCAGCGCTGCGCTATGTCACTATCCATGAAAGAGCACCAAATGGTCGACAGTTCCTGAGCCGACCACTACAGGGCTTGCCTCATAAAAAAAACATAATTATATGGTGGTTACGGCGTGTAACGCCCTAGATAATATTATTATTGAAACGTCTTAAAGTTTTCTCAGACCCTATTTTTTTTTAATGTAGGGTAACTGTGTTTCTCCTCGTCAAAGTATATATTAAGACAGAAAATCTTCATATGCAGGCGGCCTGAAAGTGAGATTTTCGCTAAATGTCTGGAAACTACTGATAGGAGATACCTGCCGGCTAGCAGGTACCCCGTGCTGGGCTACAATGAGTTACTTTTGCGCATATCATATCATTCGCTCTTCTTACGAACTCCAGTATTTGTTTCTTATCCGTAACTTAAAAGGAGACGCTATTCAATTTCCAATGAATGAGTGTGCTATGTATTGAACAGCAGATGCTGACACATTCGCATCCGGGCCTCCTTCAGTTTGCCTTGAAGGGGTCAAGAGTAAGAGTTGTCACGGCTTCATGTTTAATATAGTGCGACGGACGTTTTCACGAGAAAACTGTTTACACATTTTCAGTTCATGAATGGGTCCCTGAAAAAGCTGTAGCTTAAATAGTAAATGTTCGGCTCGTGCGGCCCAATCTGGCCGTGCGGTTGCGAGGCTTCCGCCGCAACCAACAATGATGCCGATGAGAAAACATTTCCTTTTCCGTATATGTCTTGCTTTTGCGTGTGCGACAAACTGATCCGCTTGATACTCGCAAAAGAGCGCCATTAGATATCGCTGTTAGACTGTATGCATGCAACAAGCCTATTCAATGACCCAATGGCCGAGTGTGACATGCATCGCGTCGAACCGGTTTTGTGTTCGGAGGGCTTTTATTTATATATTATTCCGACCTACATTGGAGCAGTTTGAACACAGTTATTTTTTTATATTCTGCAGTCATTTTTCTTTCATACACGACTCGTTCATTATTAAAATGTAAACCAATACACATATATATATGAACTTGCGCCCTTCAATGTGCTGAGCCAGTCAGCTTTATACTGGCGGTCTTTAATTAACAACAGTATACTGCTGTCCTGATAATATAATATTCAATTATATTACTCACTGATGTCAATCCCTCAATAAACTACCGACAGTAAAGAGCACGAATCTCGCATCTCGTTTATAGCCGTGTTTCGAATATAATTATGGCTGCCGTGGGATGTGCGACAACATTAATTTACTTGGACAGCCTTAATAGCTCTGACGGATGAACTTGCAGATCACGTTGAGCGCAAACAAAGTAATTACCCACGGTGAAATCCCGCATTATTTTTACCATCACGTGAAACATAACGGAGCTAGAATTCGAGTGTATAGAAATCGTTGTATACAATTGGTTCTACACCAAGCAGTACTCTGGAAGTACAGGATTTTCCATGCCGTCATGGACTCACAAAACTCATCTGCGTCGTCGCAACGGCGAGCACTAACGAAAAGAGAACACTTATTGAACAAGCACAGTAAAAAGCATATATTATACTACAGAAAACACGCAACTAACAAAGGGAGTAAGGTTCTTGTAAAATCAGATTCACTGTAGCTTATTCTTGTAGGCATACTGTGCAGCCATCTTTTTCCTGTCGTTGTAGTTCTTCAGGTAAAAGTTAAGAAACATGAAAAGAATGAACAGTGCCTGCGGGATACCGATGTACACGTGCACCTTCGGGTATCCACACTCGAGGAACAAGGGAACCAGCCCGTGCGCGATGAGTATGACAAACTGCATCATCTGCAGCTGCGTGAGGTACCGCTTCCACCAGAGGTGCTTACGGACTGTGGGACCCAGAAGGGAGAGGAAGTAGTACGAGTACATAACCACGTGAACGGAGCTGTTGAGGATCAGGCTGAAAGCTATGTGGCCGTCTGCGCCGTACGCGAGACCAAACCAGCCATTCAAGACCACAAGGGCGTGATGCACCACGTGAAGTACGGATATGTGCGAATACTTTTTACGCAGCACGAAGAAGATGGTGTCCAGGAAGTCGGCGATCCTCAACACCACGAACCACCACACGTGAGACAGCATGCTCGTGGTCTTCTCGTCTCGAGCCTCGAAGTCGATACCCTGGCACAAGAGGCTGTAGCCGCCACCAAGGTACGTCTTGGATAGGAAGGCCACCGTGAAGTAAAGGCTGAGCACCACCATGGCACCGTTGTAGAGCACGATGACGGGCTTGAGGTTCTCGTACGGCTTGCGGCCCTGCATGAAGCGGGGTCCGGCCACCTTGACCGCGTAGACGTAAGCGCAGATCAGGCCGATGATGAACTCCTTGTTGCCGACCAGGGCCCAGCCCTCGGTGCGGGGATCGCGTCGTAGAAACACCGTGGCTGCCGTCGAATCTAGGGCCACGGCCGCGGTGCCCGAGTTTTTCATCACGTATTCGGCGTTCGTGGTCCCGTTCTGTAGCCGAACTGGATCCTCCCCTGTCCAGGAACGCTGTGACCTTGATTAGCAAAAAAGCCCCAGTGCCCCCTTCCGCAAGAGCCCCCAACCTGTTTCATTTTTTACCGGGCCTAAGGCGAGGCGCGGCTCTGCCAGGCGAGGAGTGAACTTGCCATGAAAGGAGAACGGAGTTATTATCAGCCCTGACCTGGCCTTCCTAAAATTATATGCGTCATTTCCTTCTCATCGATAAATATCGTACCGCCGCGGACAACAAGCCTGGATGATTGAAACACGTACTGTCTTTCTTATCCCGTGCGTCCCCCTTCTTTCTCTCTTTCCACGCTCTTTTTGTTCAGTGTGGTCACATGAGCTGATGTACGAACGCAAGAGGCAGATAATTTGAGTTCATAATTCAATAAGAATGTATTCCTTCCAAGTGGCCTAAATAAAAATTGCCGTCTGTTTCGCAAAAGAAGTAAATATTTGTTCATTCTCACCATGCGTGCATCTCTTCCAAAAAATGTGACGCGAACAGATCATATACACCTCTCTCTTCTGATTGGGCGTCCTTCTCACGAGCTAGAAGAGCCGAACGGACATCCTATTCGCGTTCAATGAAGTCGATTTCAAATTCCAACAAACAGATCGGTGAGCTTCGACTGCTTTTCTTCGCTTTCACTCTGATATCATATACATAATATGTTAGTACAGCTGAAGCTCCTTATAACAAACACTGGCATAGCAATTTATCGATTACAGCGAACTGAATATGAATTACGGTGGGTCCTGCTTCATTGCAGGTGACATTTTTTCTTTCTATAACAAAACTCATGAAAGCTTAAAAAGGTGCATAGAAAACAAAATAAACATTGAAAACCAATTCAGAACCATTTTTTTCATCGCGAGAAAAGGTTTTAGAAATTTCGGTCCCGCTACACAAAAATTAAGAAAGAAAGAAAGAAAGAAAGAAAGAAAGAAAGAAAGAAAGAAAGAAAGAAAGAAAGAAAGAAAGAAAGAAAGAAAGAAAGAAAGAAAGAAAGAAAGAAAGAAAGAAAGAAAGAAAGAAAGAAGGAAAGCATTTGACTGGTTGCACGCCACTGTATCAACCGAAGTTTGAAATGACACTAACAAATAGGTAAGGACAATAGGACAATGACCAAGCAGACACAGCTGCCCGATCTGCCAATTACGGTCAGCAGTATCGCCATTCCGCTTCTAAGATCTGATACCGCAAAAGAACTTCGTGTTCTAGTCCGTCGTCTAACATCGAACTCGTGGCATTCACCGACATCAACAAGTGCACGTCTACATACTAATACGATCCTGACTTCCAGCTACGTCTCCCACCCAGCCTATCGCGACATGACACTACCTTGCTGGCCCATCTGTGGTTCGGAGTGGTGTTCTCAAATGCTAATTCATTTCTGATTGAAATGGCTTACATCCCGACATGTGAAGTGTGTGGGTGCAGCGAAACAGTCGCGCACCTTCTCTGTGACTGCGCTCGCATCAACTGCGAAAGAGCAAGCCTCTCAACAGCACTATAGGCCAACTGGACAACCGCCTTTCGAAAGAACAAAATCCCCCTTCCAAAGCACAGGGTAGCAAACCAGAGTCACCTTCTGGCTAACCTCCCTGATTTTCTTTTCTCTCTCTCTTTGAAACACAGAATAAGGCGTCTTTGCGTCTAGTACTTCTCGCACAACAGTGGCTGCCAAGTCACTGTGGAATTATCGGTAACGGATATCAGTAACGATATCCATTTACGGATTTTTCGCTAACGGATTCGTGAGTCCACTATCTAGCAGTGAGTCTGAGTCTGAGTTAGTCCAGGTGAAGAATATTTTGGTGAGCTTGAGTCAGAGTAGGTACGGTTGAAGAAAATTTTTGTGAGTGTGGGCCCGAATGATTCCAGCTTAGAAAACTTTTTGTTAGTTTAATTCAGAGTCAGCAATAGGTGTGAAATATATTTCACGGGTGAGTTTGAGTGAGCTCCACAATTTTCGCCGACTTATGGACCTTGCTTTTTCGTCAGCGGGCGAGCGAGAAATCTGTCCAGCGACCCAGCGAAGTTATGTAAAATGCCAACTCCGAGTACCGCGTTATCTTGAGCCGTTCGCAAATATGCGCACAAATCGGGGTCGTCGACGACGAAAATACAGCAGCGCCGTTTTTCCGGCCGCGCAGGACAATCACGCGAAAGGCGTAATGTGACTGCCATAAGCAAACGCCAAGTGAAAAATATACACACGACGTTTCAAGCCATTTGAATGAACACACGGTGTGTGACATGCCTCTAAATTTGATGTGTACAACTGTACACACGGCCGCTGAAGGTGATATATAAAGAAGGTATGCAGAGTCGGTTACTATGCATACCTTTTTTAAAAATGCATTAGGTATTTCGTGCGATCAAGAAGATTTTCTCTGACCTGATTTCAACAAAAGGTGAAACACTCCTGTTTCATTAATTTCCAAATCCTCAACGACAAGACTTCAAATGCAACAATATGAGAGGTGCGTGAGCTACCGGGTGTGAAGATTGATAACAAGTGTTCATGAAATGGTAGGATATTTCTGTTTTATCAGACATTAAGCAACTGTTTATGCCGAAGGTAAAAGTACGAGATGTTTCTAACGATGTTTTTGCTCACTTTTGCTGCGCACTTTAAGCTCAAAGTTGTGAAAGATCTGGTTATTGTTGCTCAGCATAACAAAGCCTTGGTGTAGTTTTAATTAACGATTCAACATTAGGTACAGCAGACAAGCAGTGCAGCATGCGAGCAGCATGGATCCATAGCAACTGTAAAGGCTAGCCTCTCTTGCACAAGCGTCGCAAGCAATAAGAAAATGCCCGAGCGGTATTGTTCAGGGCAGTGCGAAGGAACTTAAACGCAGCATACAAGCGTCTAGGGAGAGTACATGCTCAGTGCGGTGGCATGAGAAATTAAAGAGCGTGGGAGAGACAGCGAGTGTGCGGCCAGCCACAAGGTTACCATATAAACAAATGGCAGACAGAGCGCGATTCGCGACTACTAATTGGCGTTCTGGAACACTTTTCATGAGGCAGAAGTGTCGTAGTTTTTGTATCTAGTGAGAAAGGGATGAGAAGGCATGATTCGAGATGGTGGGAGACTCGAGGGAACCTCCAAGCGATGCTCCACATCCAAGGTTTTCAAAAAGTTAGGATTTTATAACTTTATGACTTATATTATAATTTTTAATTTAAAGACTTCATAATATTAATGATTTTATATTTTAAATAGTGCATCCCAATTGAAGAGAGTATCCAGCTGAGGTGAACTGAAATTGACATTTGCCCATCGGGGGCCATGGGAAAGCGTTGAGTGCCTGTATTGTGCATAATTACACAGACAACATTCAGCTCTAATTCTGTCAAGTCTTATCAGATCCTCCTCGTCATCCAACAAGCCTCTTGAAACCTATTGCTCTGTCTTCGTCGTGATGAAGTTGTCAATTTCATCTGGTGCATGAAGGTCATAGCGTGTAATGTGAGGCTCATTGTTGCTCAAAACTGCACAATTTAAACACTGCCACAAGTGCCTAACTTGGTTCAAGCCAATGACTAATTTGGTCCAAAATTATGTGCTTTTGCTATAAATTGTGCTGTAATCAATGCCCAAGAATGCAATTTTTTTCATGATAAGTGTACAATCGTATCACACAGCTGTTCTTTATTGGTAGGGCGATATGATTTCCGTCTGTTATAACTCAACACAAAAGAAACTTTTTGCAGTGTAAGTTACCAGCTCAAAATAGCCAGTTTCACAGGCAATATTGTCTGTAACAGCCCCAGAGTCCACTGCAGCTGTCATCCTCAGTAAGAAAGAAAGCTCAGTGTTTGAGCAATCTATGCCGGAATCCAGATGATGATCAAGTATTCTGCTATAAAGTCATGCAAGTTCTTGAGTATTCTTCGCGAAAACACCCTTTTCCGGCATCATGTCAGGGGACGAATCACGTTAATTGCTTGGAAGCAGAGTGTAGACTTGTACAAGACATCACTTCATGTGAACTGTTTAATGATTGGATGGTTGAAAGCTTCCCATTCGTTACGAAGGGCTGAACCATAATTTGCCAATCTCATCATAATCGGCTGCAGCATCAACAAAGTGTGCAGGCTCTGTAAACACTTTACAGATGCCCACCGGACACATTGTTACTATGTCAATTGATGGCGATTGGTGTAGTGGGTACCTAGCTAGTGTACCAACAGTTGGCACCTCACGAGAGTTTACTGTGGGCTCTATGGAATTCTACTCTTCCAGCTTATGCTGTGATTGTGCTACGTCTTCCGCACAGGCCTGGTATTGTTTTCTGCATTGATCAGTTTTCCTTTTGGCTTGACATTATTACTCTACTTGTTCTTGCGCAAGTGATCTTTTTCAACCACATTTTGACATTTTGTCAGGTCAGCAAAAAGTACCGATTGAAATACACCTCTCAAGGGCTTAGATGTTGCCGATGTTACCATAGCTCACTTCCTGTTGTTATCTCTTAGCTCATTACACGGTTGGTCCAAACCTGCTCCTTTATGTTGAGCCAATTTGAAGTGTCCCATGTCATATTTTATTGTAGTGTACTAGTTCACTACAAAAATATTGCTCAGTCAAAGTGAACACATATTTATAACATTAAGTATAAATTTACAGCTTGAATTTACAGTTTGATTAGGTGATGAATAGTCTCGTATTTACTTTAAGACTAGCATAATGCCTGCTGTGAGCGTCGCCTCATGAAATTTTCGAAAATGCAAGTTATGTTGTGTTCCACTTTTTTGACGGGTTTACTTGTTCATAAAAATACTTCAGAAGGAAACACGCTCCTTTTGGCTGAGTAGGTGGGGAAGTTAGTACCAGCGATGGCATGAAAAAGAATTTTGCTTTTGTGTAAAGGTGCTCAAAGAGAAATGCCTTATAGCTTTTGGTGCCGTGAAAGCTTAGAAAGACCCTGCAGTTTGCTGTTCTCTCTTAATTGCCTTTGTCTTGCTTCTCATTTTCACTTTCAGAAGAGAGCCAGGACACTCCACTGGAAATTTCATTTAACATAAGATTTCAGAACATACGGTGATGTGACACCGGGGACCCTTTCGGGTATCTTTTGACGCTGTTCTCCCCTATTGCAATAAATGATGACGTCACACACAACAGTTTTCATTGTAATGGAATAAGTGTAGTTCTCATGTACTTACAGAAAATAAACTTGTTCAAAATATAGTTTGTTTCGGGACTCAATTATGTTGCTTTGCTCGACACTCACCATTATTCACAACCAGGATACAGCCAGATGAACTGGCCCCACCCTTAAAAATGCCATTGCCACTTGGCAACCACAGCAGATACACTTTTGTAATCAGAGCATTGGGTTCACAAAAAGACAAAGTGCACAACTCTGCACGTGAAGATACACGAGCTTATCTCGCAGAGCCGCTGAAAAGTAAGTTCTGTCTGTTGAGACATAGGACAATTATTTAGAATATCAATTGAGACATGGGAACCTTATAAGCACAATTTCTTCAGTAAATTTATATATATATATATGTGAATCTAACAGTATAAATGAGATCTATGAAAATTTTGTTACATTATTAAAATGTGCTTAGCTTAATGCTTACCGTTTTACCTGATAAGGGTTCCCAAGTATGGTCATGAATTACTTGCACTTTCTCTGCCTGCAAATGTTTTATAAGAAATGCTTTCATATTGCATAGTTCTTAGGGGAAAAATTTGAGCAGTATTTTAGCACTGAAGTGATAGAAATATGAACTGAACTGAATAGGTCTAGTTAAGAATCTTGACCATTAGTTTATGGCTATCACAAGCGCAAAGTTAAAATATGCGACATGCAAACACGGACACATGAGATATGCACAGGCAGGTTTTCGTGTCTGCTTTGTTTTGTGCTGCTGTGCATCTTTCAGTTGTTCGTTGGCATTTGCGGCACCCTCATTTTGCTCTTGTGTCTATGTTTGCACGCCGTGTCTCTTAACAGGAATACAAACCAACTAGCTCAGCTCTGATAATGTAGTGCCCATGCCGACTTGTCTCTCCTGAAATAATATCGCCCAATTCATTATAGATAACACAAATCCATGAAACCTGGAAGCAGATTCATCGCGTGTTGATTGTCCGTCCTGCCATGAGAATTATAGAGCACCTTGTTATCTGAGATAAAAAATACAAATGCCTTTAAAAAGCATGACATTAGTAATATAGATTTTTGTGAGTTTGAGTCCGACTAAGTTCGGCTCAGGGAAAATTTGGTGAGTCGCAGTCCGAGTCAGTCCAAAGAATGAAATATATTTCTTGAGTGAGTCTGAGTGATTTTCACTTACTTTTGCCGACCTAAAGTCCTATCTCACCTTCAGCATTACTATCAGCCTTACCTGGATTCATGTTCATACTCACGTCTACTTACAGGTATTTCAAAGCAGTGTCGTTCATACACCGTTTCATTATTTAATGATCAGAGGCGCGAATTACGGAAGGGGGTGCCTTGGCCTCCTCCTACCAATTCTTTCAGACAATTTCATGATTATTATATGTTACGCTGTCACCTCTTCCAAGAAAGACGGTCTTACTAGTTTAAAAGTTTTGATAATTTGTTTTCAAAGATATATACTATGTCAAACGGCCCCAAGAAGATCACCGATTACGTGAGATAGTGGTGTTAAAGAACATTGAAACCCCGGCCGAAGAAGCTAATTCTATACGCTGACGGACTCATCAGTCGACTCTGTGAAACTGTTACGCGTCAGCCCAGTCAGTGGCCTTTTTTCTCCTCCTCTATAACTTGCCTTCTCCGCTCCCCTTCCCCAGTGCAGGGTAGCCTACCGGGGCTCAGCTCTGGTTAACCTCCCCGCCTTTCTCCTTATTTTCTCTCTCGGACTCACTCAGACTCATCGAGCGGTGAGTCTGAGCGAGTCCAAAGCTCAAAATATATTTTATGAGTAAGTCTGAGTGAGCTCTACAAGTATTGCCGACCTTTTGTTTAACTACACTGGTTGGTTCTAAGTCAATCCAAAGGTATCATTATTTATTCAATGGAGAGCTTACCTGACCTGTTGAATGCGGAGCATTTCTCAGCGAACTTCGGTGACTTTGAGCGTATCTATCTATCTAGCCGCCTACGACTTTTAGCTCTCCTGGCCGTTTCGATCTTGTTAAGCCATACCAAAATTGCTATGACATAACATGACTGTATGACAAGCGTAAGTGACTAGTCATAGCATGAAAGTCATGACATGTATGTCATAAATGTCATGATTTACACTTTATGGTTTTGTTGCTCTTGTGCTGGTTTCGTTCACATGACATTGAAAAACTGGTATGGTATGATATGACTGCATGGCGAACATGACAGGCCCTAACGTGGAGATCATGACATGCATGTCATAAAAGTAATGACTAGACGCCACGCTCACGGTGCGCTCGCGATCGTTTCGCTAGTTTCACATAAACCAAATTCGGTATTGCGGGACGTGAATGAATGAAGATGGTATACGACTAGTGCAAACATGATAATCATGAGATGCGTGTCATGTTAAGAATGTGACTTCATGCCACGCTCATGACGCGCTTGCGGCCGTTTCTCTAGCTTCACTTATACCAAATTTGGTATTACGTGACGTGAATGGACGACGAAGGTATGTGAATTCCGGGTGCAAACATGGTAATCATGACGTGGAAGTCATGTACGGCATACTTTACGTCCGCCACATATTGTTGCGCTTATTTTAAAGTGACATATCTACCTTCCTCATTCGTGCTTCACATATCATTTATTACCACTGTACGTGGGATCTGCCAACGTTTTGCAGTCAGACCTTGCATCGTGGCCTTTCAGCAAAAGCTTTCATCACCGTGCCGCGACACAGACCTAACCTACCTCAACAGTGACATTCGAAGAATAACACCCCCTTCCACTGCTCTTCCCGGTTCTAAAACAAGTATTTTCGACGCCGGTGCCTCGTGCTCCGGTCAGCGGTCAGAGCACGGCGCGTGCTAATCCGCAATATTATGGGTCGAAAAAGTGGCATTCTGTGCTAGAAACTCTGTTTTACAAACTGCATGGTTGATAGAAACCTTGCAAAAAAGCCACCTTCCACAACTTTTTGAATTCCGTTGGCTTGTGGGGCTCCAAAAAAAAAAAACATTTTATACGTCATCCCGGGTGGCTTTCAGTGAAGGTGGGTTATCAGTGATGATGGTTATTTCAGACGGCGGTATGTTAGAGCACACACACACACAAAAAAATCACACGCCGGGTGGTGTTGAGTGGAGGGGAGGGGGGCTGGAGCTCAATAAGGTCCTCCCCCTAGGCGACTCCGCTTGTGTCAGTGGTGCATGAAAGCATGAAACATTGCATGGGATAAAGAGAACTGCATGAAGCCGCATAACCCCCCCCCCTCCTTCCAAGGCTACGCCACTGAGTGCTATGGGCGTTTGAGGATCAAACTGCTTACATATTTTCATCGAATGTATCGGTCGCTGAAAAAGCTGTGAATGAAGCTAAATGCTCGTTTGAAATAATTTTTTGTAGCGCGAGTGAACTGGCAACACATCCTACAATGACGGACAAAACATTCCTCTTTTTGTATATATCGCGCTCTTGCGAATAAGATGAATTGATCTGCTTGATATTCACAGAACAGCATCAGTTGCTATCACGGTTAGTCTGTATAAATGCAGTGCGATAATCCTAAATGCCGTGAGTGATGTTCACAGCATTAAAGCGGTTTTGTATTTCGAGTACTTTTATAAGTTTATCCTGACCAAATCCCGAGCAGGCTGGACCTAAGGAGATTTCGTTTCTTCAATTCAACATCATATTTTCGCCATTTTGTTTCTGCACAACCCATTCATTATTAAAACGCAAAAAAAACGCGCACATATGCACTTGAGCTTTTGTAAATGTGCTGAGAAAATTTGTTTTATGGTCATACTGGCAATAGTAGACTCATTGATATCGATCACTCAACAAACTACCCACCGTAAAGATCGGTGCATGCATCTCACATACCTGTTACCCGTGATTCGAATATAATTATGCATGCCATGGGAAGCGCGGAAACATTAGTTCACTTGGACAGCCTTGATAGACTTGCAGATCCAGTTGCGCGCGAACAAAGAATTTACTCACGGTGAAACCCGCATTGTCTTTGAAGTCGAGTGTGAAAAAGTCGTACTTTTGGTTTCAAACCCCTAAAAGTACGTAATTTCTCATGCCGTCATGGACTTACGAAACTCATCTGGGACCATGCAACAGTGATCATTAACAAAAAGAAAACACTGATTGAACAAGCGTTGTAAAATACATATACTCTCATACAAAAAACAAGAAACAAAAAAGGAGTCAAGGTTTTGTAAAAACGGAGTCACTGAAGCTTGTTCTTGGAGACATTCTGTGCGGCCATCTTTTTCCTGTCGTTGTAGTTCTTCAGGTAAAAGTTGAGAAACATGAAGAGAAAGAACAGTCCCTGCGGGAGACCAATGTAGACGTGTGCCTTCGGGTATCCGCACTCGAGGAACAACGGGACCAGCCCGTGCGCGATGAGTATGACGAACTGGATCATCTGCAGCTGCGTGAGGTACCGCTTCCACCAGAGGTGCTTGCGGACTGCGGGACCCAGAAGGGAGAGGAAGTAGTACGAGTACATAACCACGTGCACGAAGCTGTTGAAGATCAGGGTCAAGGCGATGTGTCCGTCCGCTCCGTACGCGAGGCCGTACCAGCCGTTGAAAACCACCAGGACGTGGTGGACGACGTGAAGCACGGATATGTGCGAGTCCTTCTTTCGCAGCACGAAAAACGCCGTGTCCAGGAAGTCGGCGATCCTCACCCACTCGTACCACCAGCAGTGCGCCAGGAAGCTCATGGTCAATTCGTCGCGACTGTCGAAGTCGATACCCTGGCACACGAAGCTGTAACCACCGCCCAGGTAGCTCCTGGTCAAGTAGGCCACCATGAAGTAAAGGCTGAGCAACACCATGACGCCGTTGTAGAGCACGATGACGGGCTTGAGGTTCTCGTACGGCTTGCGGCCCTGCATGAAGCGGGGCCCGGCCACCTTGACCACGTAGACGTAGGCGCATATCAGGCCGATGATGAACTCCTTGTTGCCGACCAGGGCCCAGCCCTCGGTGCGGGGATCGCGTCGCAGGAACACCGACGCTGCCGTCGAATCCAGGGCGACGGCCGCCGTGCCCGAGTTCTCCATCGCGTCTTCGGCGTTCGTGGTCCCGTCCTACAGCCGAACTGGACCCTCCGCTGTCCAGGAACACTGTGACCTTGATTCGCAAGAGAGCTCCAGTGCCCCCTTCCACTGTCTGTCTGTCTCCCCCTCAAGACCCCCTACCCGTTTTATTTTCGACCGGGCCAAGGCGAGGCGCGCGTGGCTCTGCCGGGCGAGGGGCGAACTTGGTGTGAAAGGGGAACGGAGGTATTATTTCCCACCACGCGCGTTTTCGAATACCTCCTTTGTCCGAACAGATGTGACCAAGCCTTCTTAAAATTATATGCGAGATTTCCTTTCTCACGCATTGATCGAATCATGCCGCGGACAACGAGCTTGGATAATTGAAACACACACTGTCTTTCTTATCCCGTGCCTCCTCCTCTCTCTCTCTCTCTTTCTTTTTTCCCTTTGTGTTCGGCGCGGTCCCGTGCGAGCCGAGATGTGCTAGACACGCTCTCCTGCGCTGCCGAAAAAGCTGCACCATCCTCCGCGCGCCTCTTTCTCGATGCCTCAGCGGGCGAGGAGAGCGGACGCTCTAACAGGTACGCGGAAAAGAAAAAAGACTCGATTCGCCGGCGCTGTAACGACCGCTGCCGCGGTGCTTCCCTGTGACGCAATGGCCGGAGGTTGTTGCCCGGAGCCGCCGATGACCGAGAACACTGTGGAAGATGCGGCGCCGTTGCGCGCCCGTTGCACCGATGCCCATTGAGTGGTTCTTCCACTGAGACCGCTTTGCTGCGCCGCGGAGAATCACCTGTGCGTAATGTTTCATTTTTTTCGTCTCTTGCAGTGAACACGAAATGTGACTGTCGCCCCAACGTAAGGCCTAAGGCACACTAATATTCTAACGCAAATAAACGTATGGATGGTTCTTAAGGTGGCTCGGACATGTTCGCCTATTTCGCCTATTCAACAGTGGTCGAAGAGGCAGGTCTGTGGAAAATATAAGGATCGCAACTAACTTCCTCGTGAAAAGAACCACACGCGAACGAACCAAGTAAACCAGCCGTTTCAGGCACACGTGCTTAGCGACGTGGCGATGTCTCTGTTATTGCGAGTGGTTCGCCCGGTGTACTCTCGTGACCTCTAGGGGCGTAGTGAAGACATGCAAGTATAGGTCGGTTGATGAATAAACTTTTTCTCTTTCTTTATATTCAATCTTCCTCGATTTTCTCAAAGTTCGTTTCTTCCACATTTTGCTTTACGATACATAATTACATCACCCGCCACGGTGATCATTGTTCTCAACTGCTGACACACAGGTCGCGTAATCGAATCCCGGTCGTGGTGACCCTATTTTTGATGGAGGCGTAAATGCCCCAGGCAGCTGAACTAAAATTCATGATCACGTCAAAGAACCCAAGGTCGACGAAACTTTCAAAGCCCTCCACTACGGCGTCTCATGATTATATAGTGGTTTTGTGGCGTCAAACCGCAATAATTATTGTATTAGTTTACTTACGCTACTATTTGACCGTTTCACTAAGCTTGTTACTCTTGCACTGTTATTCCTCCGTCTCAAACTTCTTTTTCTTATAAGAGATGAATATTTTTTGGGGGGGAAGGGGGGTGAAAGTTTCGACAGATAGAGTTTCCTTCTCATTGCAAAAGGCAGGACCGCTTGTTTAAACATTGTCTCTAACGACGGCCTGTGTTCAATAATTGTCGTCTCTTTTAACGTCCGTCTCCTGAACTTCTGCCTGGTTTAGCTTTTTTTATAAGTACGCTCTCATTAAGAAACTGTTATAGATATATTTCAGTGGTCGGAACTGTAAGTCAACGTTTATTATTCTTCCTCTCTTTCTCTCTTTCTTTCCTTCTTTCTTTCTTTCTTTCTTTCTTTCTTTTGTTTATTATTTCTTTCGTTTTACAGAAAGAGGAGCAAGAGCTATGTGGCCTGACAGAGGCTCTTACTCCTTTGGGCATTCGGCATGCATGCAAATGGTTTTGATGCATGTAAAACAATAAAGCATCAACATGCAAATAGAGAAAATACAGTTTCACATGACACAAAATACCTCTAGGCAACAAAAAAGTTTGCAAACGCTTTATGAAACATGCAAAAAAACACTTTATGTAAAATAAAAAAGTCATGCAAGCACTTCATGAAAGGAAACATATCCTGCAAAACACTTTATGAAAAAAAACATCATTCAAACAGTTCAAGAATATGTACCCCAATACATTAAATAATGAAGATTAAAACTGGAATGATAAAACAGTGAAAAAGACATGTATAAACGAAGTATAAATTTGTCACTGAAAAGTTATCGTAGAATGTAAGAGAAATCTCTTTCCATATTGTTTGAAACGGGGTGCGTAAAAGGCCACGTCGTTCCTCACATTATTTATTAGCCGAGGTATTTGATATTGTAGGTCCTGGCGTTCGTAGCTTTTTCCCCTGAGTGATGGCATTGTTATTTGGTGGCGTAACTGATACCGTGGAGATGAAATTGGTGAACTACTAATATAGAGTATCTGCTCTTTTTATGAGCAATAGTAATCTATAATAGTAAATTTGACTTGCTTTCATCGATGAATGTTTATTAAAAAGATTGTGTGTGGTGGTTCTCGCGGCCTTCCATGATAGTTTTAGAAATTTCTTATTACCTTTTTTTGCAGTTTAATCAATTTGTCATAACTTTTTGCAGTTGTTGTTTCCCAGACTAATGCACAATAACTAAGTTTTGAGTAAAAAAAGGACGTAGTACATTGCTCTTTTTAGTGGTAGTGGTATAAGACTACTTGTTTTATATATAGTGCCTACCACTTTGCTAAGGTCACTGGAGAGCTTATTTACATGATTGTCCCAAGAGAGGTTTTCTTGAAACCATACACCCAAACACGTTTGCGTTGCTAATCGTTCTATCTGCTTTCCATTGAATAAAACAGTAATATTAAGAGGCATTGGTTCATTTATTGTCTTAAATACTATATATTTATTTTCGTAACATTAAGTGAAGTTTGTTTAGGTTAAGCCAGTCAGGCAATAGATCTAAATAATCACTGATTTCTTTTTCAGTGTGATAGGGATGTGCTTGAAAAGAAAAGATTAGTGTCATCCGCATACATGACTATGTTCGGTGTAGGTGAAATGCTTGGGGGGTCATTAATGTATATGGTAAATATTACCGGGTCTAGTAAAAATCCCTGCGGTACATTAGTTTGTATTTTAAGATGCGGAGAGGTCACCTGATTGAGAGAAACATACTGAAAACAATCCGTTAAATAGGTTCGCATGAGTTCTAACGCTGTACCACTTATCCAATAGGTGTGAAGTTTCAATAACAGTATTTCGTGATTCACGCAGTCAAATGCTTTACGCAAGTCCAGGAATAAACCAACTGTGTATAAACGATTTGCAATATTTTGTAATATTTCGTGTTTTACTTGGAGGAGTGCGTCCTCACAGGACTTTTCTGCAACGTTTCTGAAAGTCACGAAAACGTTTTATTCCAGGGACGACAAGCAATGCGGACGTGTTTGGTGGTCAAATGAAACTATGAAGAACCTGAGTTAGTGCGCTGAACACGATAATCTTTTTTTTTCACCACAAAACTTATCACAAATAGATGCAATATTAAAAAAAAACGTGCAAATGCACTAAGCCTTGGGATGAGTGTATGATTGGACATCCCATTATTTTTCTCTCCACGGTCCATTCAAATGTAATTCATTCAAAATACTATTACCAGGCGCGGCGAGAGAATGTTAACGTCAGTCTGTCCACTGGTCAACTCGTGTGCACGAAGCGTTTACCACAGCCCTTCGATACTTCGAAGGACTCTGCTTTTGCTTTGACTGTTTACGACGCCCACCAGCGTATACACATGGTCTGAAGTATTTTGAGCCAGGAATAAAAAGGCCACCATCCATTGAAACAACTCGTAAACTTTCCTCGTCGGGTATTTTTCACTTCGTTTCCAAGGTCCGCATTAGAGAATGCTGGCTTTTTGGTGCGCCATTATTGCAATACGTGGCCCATGGTTTCGGCACTTATGAGAATTTTCGGCGAAGCCCGCCGTATATATAAGACATCAAGCTCGTTATTAATTGTCATTTCCGCCTACTCCGCACAAAGGCTCGCTGTTTACGCCGTGTGGCTTTTAAAGCATTCTGGGATGCGTGGCGGTGTTTCCGCCTCGTTCACCTCTGCGTTTGTACCTTGGAAAAAGAAGACGAAAACAGAGTAACCTGAACTGAACATTCGATGCTTCATAAAATTTTTAGTGTTATTTATTTTCAGTTTGAGCGTGGTGATATATGCACCATGGACAAGCACATACCCTTGGATACGACGATGACACGTCCTTATAATCAATGACAGCAACCGGTGTCCTGACAGTCCTATATGACGTGCCCCTTCGCTGAACAAGAAAGTGCGTCATATCGGCCGCCCTATATATGACACTATACAAGTGTTTTATAGGTGTGACGCACAACACTTGTTTCGTGTAACACGTATAAAACAACGCGTGACACGAATAACGCATCCCACAAAGCAGCCGTTTTATCTCGCACATTATTCTCGTCAAAGTTCTAATTCTAGGTGAACTTGTCCACCTTCACCGTAGAAGAAAATTAAGGCACGCGATACACAGGGAATTGAGAGGGCAGAAGCATACAATATAAATTCTGTGCTTTCATACATGATAGACCCCTACACGACAGGATGGTGATAGTCCACCACCCTGTCGTTCTATAGGCCATCTTTCTTGCCATGTATATTCTAGCACACTTCATGTCCCTTTCATACCACACACACTTCATAACGTACGAACGTAGCAACGTGATGATTACGTACGTGATTAGCTCACGAACTATCTATTCAAAAGCGTGCACCACTTTGTAAACCACTGCATCGCAAGTAAGAGGGGTATTCCTATTTTATTCCAAGAACACTAGACTATACTCCCAAGGCAAATTGGAACAGCGGTTGAGCGAAAACAAACAATCAGTCAACCATGTTGATGGGGATTGTAATAAAATTTTAAGGGTAAGTCATGTGCTAGTAAACAATTTACTCTT